GTCCAGGTCTACTGGTCCACTGGATCACTGGTCCACTGGTTCACTGGTCCACTGGACCACTGGACCACTGGTCCACTGGACCACTGGTTCACTGGTCCACTGGTTCACTGGTCCACTGGACCACTGGACCACTGGTCCACTGGATCACTGGTCCACTGGTTCACTGGTCCACTGGACCACTGGACCACTGGTCCACTGGACCACTGGACCACTGGTTCACTGGTCCATTGGACCACTGGTCCACTGGTCCACTGGACCACTGGTCCACTGGTCCACTGGACCACTGGACCTTACGTTGGTCCAGATGGGACGGTCCATACCGAGACAGTGGTGCTATAGAAAGTAGTCAGTCTACAACGCCACTGTTTGAGATGATGCGACCACAGTATACCTTGGTCCTTTATGAAGGACCTCTGAGGTATACCTTGGTCCTTTATGAAGGACCTCTGAGGTATACCTTGGTCCTTTATGAAGGACCTCTGAGGTATACCTTGGTCCTTTATGAAGGACCTCTGAGGTATACCTTGGTCCTTTATGAAGGACCTCTGAGGTATACCTTGGTCCTTTATGAAGGACCTCTGAGGTATACCTTGGTCCTTTATGAAGGACCTCTGAGGTATACCTTGGTCCTTTATGAAGGACCTCTGAGGTATACCTTGGTCCTTTATGAAGGACCTCTGAGGTATACCTTGGTCCTTTATGAAGGACCTCTGAGGTATACCTTGGTCCTTTATGAAGGACCTCTGAGGTATACCTTGGTCCTTTATGAAGGACCTCTGAGGTATACCTTGGTCCTTTATTATGAAGGACCTCTGAGGTATTCCTTGGTCCTTCATTATGAAGGACCTCTGAGGTATACCTTGGTCCTTTATTATGAAGGACCTCTGAGGTATACCTTGGTCCTTTATTATGAAGGACCTCTGAGGTATACCTTGGTCCTTTATTATGAAGGACCTCTGAGGTATACCTTGGTCCTTTATTATGAAGGACCTCTGAGGTATACCTTGGTCCTTATTATGAAGGACCTCTGAGGTATACCTTGGTCCTTCATTATGAAGGACCTCTGAGGTATACCTTGGTCCTTCATTATGAAGGAACTCTGAGGTATACCTTGGTCCTTTATGAAGGACCTCTGAGGTATACCTTGGTCCTTCATTATGAAGGACCTCTGAGGTATACCTTGGTCCTTCATTATGAAGGACCTCTGAGGTATAACCTTGGTCCTTTATGAAGGACCTCTGAGGTATACCTTGGTCCTTTATGAAGGACCTCTGAGGTATACCTTGGTCCTTTATGAAGGACCTCTGAGGTATACCTTGGTCCTTTATGAAGGACCTCTGAGGTATACCTTGGTCCTTTTATGAAGGACCTCTGAGGTATACCTTGGTCCTTTATGAAGGACCTCTGAGGTATACCTTGGTCCTTTATGAAGGACCTCTGAGTTATACCTTGGTCCTTTATGAAGGACCTTTGAGGTATACCTTGGTCCTTTATGAAGGACCTCTGAGGTATACCTTGGTCCTTTATGAAGGACCTCTGAGGTATACCTTGGTCCTTTATGAAGGACCTCTGAGGTATACCTTGGTCCTTTATGAAGGACCTCTGAGGTATACCTTGGTCCTTTATGAAGGACCTCTGAGGTATACCTTGGTCCTTTATTATGAAGGACCTCTGAGGTATACCTTGGTCCTTCATTATGAAGGACCTCTGAGGTATACCTTGGTCCTTTATGAAGGACCTCTGAGGTATACCTTGGTCCTTTATGAAGGACCTCTGAGGTATACCTTGGTCCTTTATTATGAAGGACCTCTGAGGTATACCTTGGTCCTTTATTATGAAGGACCTCTGAGGTATACCTTGGTCCTTTATTATGAAGGACCTCTGAGGTATACCTTGGTCCTTTATTATGAAGGACCTCTGAGGTATACCTTGGTCCTTTTATGAAGGACCTCTGAGGTATACCTTGGTCCTTATTATGAAGGACCTCTGAGGTATACCTTGGTCCTTATTATGAAGGACCTCTGAGGTATACCTTGGTCCTTCATTATGAAGGACCTCTGAGGTATACCTTGGTCCTTATTATGAAGGACCTCTGAGGTATACCTTGGTCCTTATTATGAAGGACCTCTGAGGTATACCTTGGTCCTTATTATGAAGGACCTCTGAGGTATACCTTGGTCCTTATTATGAAGGACCTCTGAGGTATACCTTGGTCCTTCATTATGAAGGACCTCTGAGGTATACCTTGGTCCTTCATTATGAAGGAACTCTGAGGTATACCTTGGTCCTTCATTATGAAGGACCTCTGAGGTATACCTTGGTCCTTCATTATGAAGGAACTCTGAGGTATACCTTGGTCCTTTATTATGAAGGACCTCTGAGGTATACCTTGGTCCTTTATGAAGGACCTCTGAGGTATACCTTGGTCCTTTATTATGAAGGACCTCTGAGGTATACCTTGGTCCTTTATTATGAAGGACCTCTGAGGTATACCTTGGTCCTTCATTATAAAGGAGCTAAGGCTTAATCACACGAGTAAAGTAAACGAGGGAACGGGTTGGGTTCAAACCCACGACAAGCGAGTGTTAGTACTGACAGGCCAGTGTGTTAACAACTGTACTAGCTGCCTCTAGTAAGATTCATCCGTATTTCTGTACGCTATAGGAAGGTTAGCATAGGCCTACCACTGTGACAATTAACACAGGTTTATGACAGATGAATCCCACACCAGCGGAGATGTGTTGTGCTCTAGCTCGAGTCCCCTCAGAGCCACACTGGCCTGTGAATTTTAAAACTCACTTGTCATGGGTTCGAATCCCTCCCGCTCCCTGAGAGGTAATAACACTGCAGTGAACAGAGCACAAGACTTCTCCAGGCTCAGGGACTGACCTCCTAAATACTGTTCCTCCAAGGTTGATGGACTGATTACATCGTCTTCATTTCGACTGAAGAAACCTACTGAGTAGGCGTTACTTGCTTGTGTTAATTATCAGATTACTGGATAAAGTACGGTACGGGAGGGGTTGAACCATGGCTAGTGTGTCTGGGAGGACACAGTAGGACAGTGTCTGGGAGGACACAGTAGGACAGTGTCTGGGAGGACACAGTGGGACAGTGTCTGGGAGGACACAGTGGGACAGTGTCTGGGAGGACACAGTGGGACAGTGTCTGGGAGGACACAGTGGGACAGTGTCTGGGAGGACACAGTGGGACAGTGTCTGGGAGGACACAGTGGGACAGTGTCTGGGAGGACACAGTGGGACAGTGTCTGGGAGGACACAGTGGGACAGTGTCTGGGAGGACACAGTGGGACAGTGTCTGGGAGGACACAGTGGGACAGTGTCTGGGAGGACACAGTGGGACAGTGTCTGGGAGGACACAGTGGGACAGTGTCTGGGAGGACACAGTGGGACAGTGTCTGGGAGGACACAGTGGGACAGTGTCTGGGAGGACACAGTGGGACAGTGTCTGGGAGGACACAGTGGGACAGTGTCTGGGAGGACACAGTGGGACAGTGTCTGGGAGGACACAGTGGGACAGTGTCTGGGAGGACACAGTGGGACAGTGTCTGGGAGGACACAGTGGGACAGTGTCTGGGAGGACACAGTGGGACAGTGTCTGGGAGGACACAGTGGGACAGTGTCTGGGAGGACACAGTGGGACAGTGTCTGGGAGGACACAGTGGGAGTGTGTCTGGAAGGACACAGTGGGAGTGTGTCTGGAAGGACACAGTGGGAGTGTGTCTGGAAGGACACAGTGGGAGTGAGTCTGGAAGGACACAGTGTTAGTGTCTCTGGAAGGACACAGTGAGTGTGTCTCTGGAAGGATACAGTGGGAGTGTGTCTGGGAGGATACAGTGGGAGTGTGTCTGGGAGGATACAGTGGGAGTGTGTCTGGAAGGACACAGTGGGAGTGTGTCTGGAAGGACACAGTGGGAGTGTGTCTGGAAGGACACAGTGGGAGTGTCTCTGGAAGGACACAGTAGGAGTGTGTCTGGAAGGACACAGTGGGAGTGTGTCTGGAAGGACACAGTGGGAGTGTGTCTGGAAGGACACAGTGGGAGAGTGTCTGGAAGGACACAGTGGGAGAGTGTCTGGAAGGACACAGTGGGAGTGTCTCTGGAAGGACACAGTAGGAGTGTGTCTGGAAGGACACAGTGGGAGTGTCTCTGGAAGGACACAGTAGGAGTGTGTCTGGAAGGACACAGTGGGAGAAAGACAGCCCTTCAGTCCCTACTGGCTGTCAAAAACCATGGTGGATAGATAAAGGGTGTCTCTTACGCCCCACCCCGTGGTAATGACAGGGGTTACACTGCAGATTTAACCCTGGAGGTGAGAGGTGATCATACCACTGCAGATTTAACCCTGGAGGTGAGGGGTGGTCATCCCACTGCGGATTTAACCCTGGAGGTGAGGGGTGGTCATCCCACTGCGGATTTAACCCTGGAGGTGAGGGGTGGTTATCCTACTGCGGATTTAACCCTGGAGGTGAGGGGTGGTTATCCCACTGCGAATTTAACTCTGGAGGTGAGGGGTGGTCATACCACTGCAGATTTAACCCTGGAGGCGAGTCATTCCACTGGTACAAGTGCACATCCCAGGATTGAGACAACCACTATAACTGGATTCCCAGAGGTCCACTTCTATCATGTGACCTTAGTGATCATGTGACCTCAAGGGTCATCATGTGACCTCAGGGGTCATGTGATCTCAGGGATCATGTGACCTCAGGGGGTCATGTGATCTCAGGGGGCCATGTGACCTCAGGGGGTCATGTCATCTCAGGGGGCCATGTGACCTCAGGGATCATGTGACCTCAGGGATCATGTGACCTCTAGGGTCATCTGGAAAAAATTTTATTACATATATTGATAGCAAAGCAGAAGGCTCTCTAGTGCTCTATCTAAAGGCAGAGCTCTAAGACCTCTAATTATAAGCTCTAGGTCTCTACACCCTTGTGAACATGCCCCCTCTACTGTGAACAATGAACAATGTTCCTACCTTGCTTCTGTTCCTCTTGTTCATAGCAGCGTCATTCTTCTTGTTCTGATGGGCCATGCCCATCCGGGCACCGGCAAATCTCCCAGCCATGGTGCTCTGATTGTCCTCTGTTAACGGGGAAGCAGGTGCAACAGGGGATTGGGAAGTATTCTGTTTATTGCTGTCGTAGGTAATGTTCAGATCACCGGGTCTGAGTGCGGTAAATCAGGGGCTTTGTACTGTCTGATTGCCTGTTTCTGTTGGGCGAAACGGTCACCGTTTGTCCCATGGGAAACGGCACTGTTTTAAGGGGAGAAGTGTCGTTAATTCACACTCGTTAACGGGGCCGGGGTTCAACGGCGAGAAGGGAGGAGGTGCAACCGTTAACGGGGAGGTTAACGGTAAGCTGCTCCCGTTGAGCACTGCCAATAACAGTAACAGGAAGACAAAGGGAGGATTTCTGGTCTCTTAATCGCCCTCTTCAGGACGAGAAGCGACTACTTTTGTGAGCAATAATCTTGATTATTAAGCTTTCAAGCTGACAGCACAGCGTGTCTGGGAAGTTTTCAAGCTGGGACCAGAGTGGCCCTGCCACAGAAAGCCTTCAAGCTGAGATGATAGCTTTTGTGTAAAGTTTTAAGCTGAGATAACAGCTTGTCTGAAAATCCTACAAGCTGGGATGACAGCTTGCCTCTGAAGCCTTCAAGCTGGGATTACAGCCTTCAAGCTGGGATTATAGCCTTCACGATGGGATTATACCCGTCAAGCTAGGATTACAGCCTTCAAGCTGGGATTACAGCCTTCAAGCTGGGATTACAACCTTCAGTCTGGGATTACAGGCTTCAAGCTGGGATTACAACCTTCAAGCTGGGATTACAGCCTTCAAGCTGGGATTACAACCTTCAGTCTGGGATTACAGGCTTCAAGCTGAAATCCTATTCTTGCGAGAGGAAAATCCTAATGCCTAAAATCCTCTAAGCTGAGAGGCAAGTATTCTAGAAATCCTGGTAAATCCTTCAGTCTTGCACACACACAGGGTCTTAATCCTGGTAACTCCTCCAGTCTTACACACACAGAGGGTATTAATCCTGGTAAATCCTCCAGTCTTACACAAAGGGTCTTAATCCTGGTAAATCCTCCAGTCTTACACACACAGAGGGTATTAATCCTGGTAAATCCTCCAGTCTTACACAAAGGGTCTTAATCCTGGTAAATCCTCCAGTCTTACACACAGTGTTAATCCTGGTAAATCCTACAGTCTTACACACACAGAGGGTTTCAATCCTGGCAAATCCTTCAGTCTTACACAGAGGGTGTTAATCCTGGTAAATCCTCCAGTCTTGCGCACACGGAGGGTCTTGAAGGGTCAGTCAGCAAAGACTTAAGTCTTAAGTCTTAGTTCAGGAGGCTGTAACGAGAGAAAACTGTGAAAAGGACAGAATCACCTGCATAAGTCTTAAAAAAAAAGTCTTTTCTCGCGTATAAGTCTTATTTTACACGTAGAAAAAGACTTTTACGACCCAGATTAAGGCTGATTTAGAATTGTGTAAGATAAATCTCGGTAATCCTTTGGTCTGTTAGGTTTGATGTTTATTAAGATTGGTTGGTTGGTTAATGGGGTTTAAAGTCTATCTACTACACCAGGGTCATTAAGACTGGTTGGTTGGTTAATGTACACTACCAGTGTATATACCTTGAGATATACCCCTCTCAGTATACATATACATTGAGATATACACCTCTCAATGTATATACACTGAGATATACACCTCTCAGTATATATACACCGAGATATATACCTCTCAGTAAATATATACACTGGGATATACACCTCTTAGTATGGTATAAACATTAGTAACAGATACCAAGAAATTACTTAAGAAAGACAGCTTAGTAAACACTAGGACACATCACAAAACATTTGGGTCCTGGGACCTTGATCACTTCTAACTTACACAAGTTAATAAGACAGTATATAAACCATACCACGGATGGGGTTTGAACCCGCGATCTGAGAATCATAAAACTCCAGACCGACGCTTTAGCCACCCGTGGTATTTTTCTGTTTACATTCTGTTATTACTGTTTCCTGAGTTATGAAGACTGTGTGTAAATATATGTGGAGAGTGAGGCTTGTTATAGTGACCTGAAGAATGACATTGGGGTGATACATAGTGACCTGAAGAATGACATTGGGGTGATACATAGTGACCTGAAGAATGACATTGGGGTGATACATAGTGACCTGAAGAATGACATATTGGGATGATACATAGTGACCTGAAGAATGATAAATTGGGATGATACATAGTGACCTGAAGAATGACATATTGGGATGATATAGTGACCTGAAGAATGACATATTGGGATGATACATAGTGACCTGAAGAATGACATTGGGGTGATATATAGTGACCTGAAGAATGACATATTGGGATGACACAATGACCTGAAGAATGATATATTGGGAGGATGACAGGTAGACAATGTGGTCACGTGACTCCTGTGTTGTTAGGTACCTGATGCTTTGCCTCGTTAAGTATCTTGTACGATAATGTTACTTGAGATTATGTAGTTTTCAGTATTATGGAGATAAAGACGTGTGCAGCAGTTGGGTAACATTTTTGATGATAGGTTTAGCTATACAGTTGGCTTCCTCAGTCACAGAGGCAGCAGTAGTAGTCAAATCAACTTGGGAGAAAAGTAAGTATTTGAGGTAATCAGTCCCTCAGCCTTGAGAAGAGTTCAGTTCCATAGTCTGGAACTGTGCAGGCGAATTTTTTCATCAGTAAAGATACTCGACTGTTGCACATGCGTCTTAATCTTTAAGTTGCCCTTATTTTGTACCATTTCTATGGTGTAGGTGACGGTGATTATCGCGGCTTCCAGACATTGTTGACGTCTAAGATCTTGTTTGGTGAGTTTGAGCTGTGCCTTATTCCACTTCATCAAATGTCTCGTGGAGTCCCTGTGCAGTGCACAGGCGTACCTTAAGGTACGCATGTGTCCTCCACAGGGACTCCACATTAAGGTATGCCTGTGTACTCCACAGGGACTCTGCATTAAAATACGCCTGTGTCCTACACAGGGACTCCACGTTAACGTGGACTCCCTGTGGAGGACACAGGTATACCTTAAGTCATCTCTGTTGCTGGCGTTTCGATGTTCGTTCAGGCAGACTGAGAGATTTCTGCCTGTTTATCCTACATATTTCCAAGAACAGTATCCACACAGGAGATGGTGTAGACGCCAGCTGTGGAAGCTGGAGGTGCGGGGGTAGAAATACATACGTTGCTCTTAGCAAGTACCTGGCGAGTATTCTTGACAACATCCGCCACATGGGAGCACTACTAACTGTTTAGAGGACTGGTCCATGGGGGATATGTTAATGACATATTAGATATTTTAAGGACCCTGAGATATACATCTCTCAGTGTGCATACACTGAGATATACGTATCTCAGTGTATATACACTTAGATATACGTATCTCAGTGTATATACACTTAGATATACGTATCTCAGTGTATATACACTTAGATATACGTATCTCAGTGTATATACACTTAGATATACGTATCTCAGTGTATATACACTTAGATATACGTCTCTCAGAGTGTATACACGAGATATACACCTCTCAGTGTATATATACTGAGATATATACTCCTCAGTGTATATACACTTGAGGTCCTCTTCAGCAGATAGAACGAAAATTGTTAAACAGCTAAATAACCATCATTAATTAAAGTAATTAGGACTAGGCGACCTAAAATAGGCCTAAAAATGTAAAAAAAAAAAAATCCGTGGCCAGGAAGATAATTTCCCTGAAGCGGAATTTTGGGGAAATGTTGGGAATCTGGGGGAATATATAGAGCTTAATCCAGTGTAGAGCTTTATCAAGTTATGTTTCACTCAGTGTAGAGCTTTATCAAGTTATGTTTCACTCAGTGTAGAGCTTTATCAAGTTATGTTTCACTCAGTGTAGAGCTTTATCAAGTTATGTTTAACTCAGTGTAGAGCTTTATCAAGTTATGTTTCACTCAGTGTAGAGCTTTATCAAGTTATGTTTCACTCAGTGTAGAGCTTTATCAAGTTATGTTTCACTCAGTGTAGAGCTTTATCAAGTTATGTTTCACTCAGTGTAGAGCTTTATCAAGTTATGTTTCACTCAGTGTAGAGCTTTATCAAGTTATGTTTCACACATTGTAGAGCTTTATCAAGTTATGTTTCACTCAGTGTAGAGCTTTATCAAGTTATGTTTCACACATTGTAGAGCTTTATCAAGTTATGTTTCACACAGTGTAGAGCTTTATCAAGTTATGTTTCACTCAGTGTAGAGCTTTATCAAGTTATGTTTCACACATTGTAGAGCTTTATCAAGTTATGTTTCACACAGTGTAGAGCTTTATCAAGTTATGTTTCACTCTTTGTAGAGCTTTATCAAGTTATGTTTCACACAGTGTAGAGCTTTATCAAGTTATGTTTCAAACTTTGTAGAGCTTTATCAAGTTATATTTCACTCAGTGTAGAGCTTTATCAAGTTATGTTTCACACAGTGTAGAGCTTTATCAAGTTATGTTTCACTCAGTGTAGAGCTTTATCAAGTTATGTTACACTCAGTGTAGAGCTTTATCAAGTTATGTTTCACTCTGTGTAGAGCTTTATCAAGTTATGTTTCACTCAGTGTAGAGCTTTATCAAGTTATGTTACACTCAGTGTAGAGCTTTATCAAGTTATGTTTCACTCAGTGTAGAGCTTTATCAAGTTATGTTTCACACAGTGTAGAGCTTTATCAAGTTATGTTTCACTCAGTGTAGAGCTTTATCATATGTTTCACTCAGTGTAGAGCTTTATCAAGTTATGTTTCACACAGTGTAGAGCTTTATCAAGTTATGTTTCACTCAGTGTAGAGCTTTATCAAGTTATGTTTCACTCAGTGTAGAGCTTTATCAAGTTATGTTTCACACATTGTAGAGCTTTATCAAGTTATGTTTCACTCAGTGTAGAGCTTTATCAAGTTATGTTTCACACATTGTAGAGCTTTATCAAGTTATGTTTCACACAGTGTAGAGCTTTATCAAGTTATGTTTCACACGTAGAGCTTTATCAAGTTATGTTTCACACAATGTAGAGCTTTATCAAGTTATGTTTCACTCTTTGTAGAGCTTTATCAAGTTATGTTTCACTCAGTGTAGAGCTTTATCAAGTTATGTTTCACACAGTGTAGAGCTTTATCAAGTTATGTTTCACTCTTTGTAGAGCTTTATCAAGTTATGTTTCACACTTTGTAGAGCTTTATCAAGTTATATTTCACTCAGTGTAGAGCTTTATCAAGTTATGTTTCACACAGTGTAGAGCTTTATCAAGTTATGTTTCACTCAGTGTAGAGCTTTATCAAGTTATGTTTCACTCAGTGTAGAGCTTTATCAAGTTATGTTTCACACAGTGTAGAGCTTTATCAAGTTATGTTTCACTCAGTGTAGAGCTTTATCAAGTTATGTTTCACACAGTGTAGAGCTTTATCAAGTTATGTTTCACACAGTGTAGAGCTTTATCAAGTTATGTTTCACTCAGTGTAGAGCTTTATCAAGTTATGTTACACTCAGTGTAGAGCTTTATCAAGTTATGTTTCACACAGTGTAGAGCTTTATCAAGTTATGTTTCACTCAGTGTAGAGCTTTATCAAGTTATGTTTCACTCAGTGTAGAGCTTTATCAAGTTATGTTTCACACAGTGTAGAGCTTTATCAAGTTATGTTTCACTCAGTGTAGAGCTTTATCAAGTTATGTTTCACACAGTGTAGAGCTTTATCAAGTTATGTTTCACTCAGTGTAGAGCTTTATCATGTTATGTTTCACACATTGTAGAGCTTTATCAAGTTATGTTTCACTCTTTGTAGAGCTTTATCAAGCTATGTTTCACACAATGTAGAGCTTTATCAAGTTATGTTTCACTCTTTGTAGAGCTTTATCAAGTTATGTTTCACTCAGTGTAGAGCTTTATCATATTATGTTTCACTCTTTGTAGAGCTTTATCAAGTTATGTTTTACTTAGTGTAGAGCTTTATCAAGTTATGTTTCACTCATTGTAGAGCTTTATTAAGTTATGTTTCACTCAGTGTAGAGCTTTATCAAGTTATGTTTCACTCAGTGTAGAGCTTTATCAAGTTATGTTTCACTCAGTGTAGAGCTTTATCAAGCTATGTTTCACTCTTTGTAGAGCTTTATCATGTTTCACTCTTTGTAGAGCTTTATCAAGCTATGTTTCACTCTTTGTAGAGCTTTATCATGTTTCACTCTTTGTAGAGCTTTATCAACTTATGTTTCACACAGTGTAGAGCTTTATCAAGTTATGTTTCACTCAGTGTAGAGCTTTATCAAGCTATGTTTCACTCTTTGTAGAGCTTTATCAAGTTATGTTTCACTCTTTGTAGAGCTTTATCAAGCTATGTTTCACTCAGTGTAGAGCTTTATCAAGTTATGTTTCACTCAGTGTAGAGCTTT